TATATATATAAATGCAATAAATGCAAATACATATACATATGTACACAATATATCCTCCATACATGTATATCCCTACGCTAACACATGTACCGAAACTGTAAGATCCATTCAATAACACTAGTCCATAGTTAGGACACATGCCTGATTCAGTCAACGGCAGTGCCGTGTCTATTGAAAAGACCTATGTGTTTGATATCCACAATGTGTGGCAGCTAGCGATGCGGCAGGGAAGTTATGTAGTTTAATATCTGTATGTATATGTATGCGTAAGTACATTAACATGTACAATACTTATGCTGAAAGTACATTACCGTGTTACATACTACCATACTATTGCAGGGGACTTGACAGACGGATGTGAAGAAGTGGGCGGAGACTTGTCCGAGAATTGCGGTGTAAGTGCGCATATCAACACCCAAACCCTACATGTTTGCGTACATGTTTGTGCGCGCGAATATCACGTACGTGTATGGTATGCACACTGATTGACCGTATTCGCCAGCGTAAATGTCAAGTGTATATTTCTGAATGAATCTACATGCATCTATACAAGCTTGTGACCAAATGCTTGCACTTCTTTCGCAATTGCAAACCTTGACGGGTGATGGAGGGGGGGGGGTTTCTTGGAGTTTTGTGGTTGTTAATGGTTTTTGGTTCTGGTGATATGCAGATGTATAAATGACGAGATCTTCTAGTCGTGTCTGTACGTACGCAGGCGGTTCTTTTGCGTTTGTTCTTGTTGTGTGTGGGAGTGCACGGTGTGTCCGGTTATCAGAGTATATGCACACATATGTGCAAATGGGGTTGAGAATTAAGCACCTGCACTCATGTGCATCGGTTTACTGGTTATCCACCATGAATATGTGCATGTAAATGTAGCAACTGTATTTAAAGATATGTGGGTGCGTTTGCATGGCTCATATGTATCAACATGTATTGAATTGAAGGTCCCACATACTTACTACCAGTGCAGTTGTATTTTGTATACGCTCGCATCGGGGCGCGTTTGTGATTGAGAGGTGTGATTTTGTCCTTATATATCCGCGTGCTATTTACTTTACAGTGCGGCCTATTGACAAGCATGTCTCCATCGCAATACGAAATATATATATATATATATATATATATATATATATATATGCGCGTGTGTATGTGTGTTGTGTGTGTGT